ATTCTCCTATCTGCTAAATTCTGACAACCCAATTTCCGAAAGAAATTAATTGAAAAAATAAGAAGAGAAAAAAAATAATAATAGAATAACAATCAAAAAAATATTATATTTAATTTTAAATTCAATATATATCTAAAGAATATTTTTCTTATTAGAAAGAATTTCGATTTTTGCCGCAGCTTCTGAAATATATATGTCTATATTTCTTATATGATAAAAAAATATATATTTATACTAAATTTCTTAGAAATCGCAATACTAAACATATCCCAAGCTTATCACTTTGTGAATTTATCGTCCAATATATTCGGACTTATCTTCAATAGTATCACATCATTAATAATACTTTCAATCGTCTTAATAATTAATCATATATATATATTAAGATTACGCCTATCAAAAACAATTATATATCTGAAACAACTAAAATCAATTCTGCCGCTCATATTTACCTATTTCGATATAATATATAAGTTATCTCGTACCATAGATTCGTTATTCATGCCCTATGGGCCAAGACTAATTCAAGCGACGGCTACAATATCCATCCGATAATATCAAATCCCATCCTCCAATATCCACTAACACCTCCCAGAAATTAATCTCGACAATGGTCTACATCTTTATATTAATTACAATATTCTTCAAATTATTTTTTAAATTCTCCTATTTACAAAATTCTTACAACCCAATTTCCGAAAGAAATTTGTAAAATTATAACAAATAGAAAATAATAAATAACAATAATAATATATTCAATATTAAATTCGTATTACGATTACGCCTATCAAAAATAATCATATATCAACAAATTCGGCCTATACACCAAAACTAAACCAAACGACGACTACAATATCCATCCAATAATATCAAGTTTTATTTTAGTAAACCTCAAACCACGAATACCTCCCAGAAATAAGTCTCGACAAAAGCCTACACCTTTATATTAACAATAATATTTTTTCAAATTATTTTTTATTTATTTTCTTACCTACAAAATTCTTACAACCTAATTTCCGAAAGAAATTAATAAAATTATAACAAAGAAAAAAATACATAACAATAATAAAAATAGTATCTAATAATAATATATTCAATATTAAATTTTAGAAAATATATATAGGATATTTTTAACAAAATCATCCTTATATTCTCGATTTTTGTATTATTATCATTAAAAAATCATTTTACCACAAATTCTTAAATATATATTTCTATATTTCTTATATAATAATTTAAAAAAATATGTATACTAAATTTCTTAGAAATCGCAATACAAAATATATCCCAAGCTTACCACTTTGTGAATTTATCGTATTATATATTCAGATTTATCTTCAATAACATCACAACATCAATAATATTTTCAATCGTCTCAATAATCAATCATAAACGTATTGAGATTACGCCTATCAAAACAATCATATGTCAGAAAATTTGGCTATAGAAAATATGAATAAATAAATAGAAGCAGCTAAAACCAGTTCTGCACCCCATATTGACCTATTTTGATAATATATAAGCCATCTCGTACCAACTCGTACCGTAGATTCGTTGTTCATGCCCTGTGTGCCAGGACTGAACCGGGCGACGGCTGCAATATCCATCCGACAACATCAAATCCCATCCTGGTAAACCTCAAGCCAGCATCCCCTGACACCTCCCAGAAATTGGTCTCGACAATGGCCTGCACCGCTCCGAAAATGGCCGGGCCAAGCGTAACCCCCCCACCAAAAACCACAGATAAGCGTGGAGTGGCCATGGAAAACTCATATATTGATATTGGGCAGCTGCATCTTTGTTGCCCATTCTACTTTACCTTCCTGCCTGCGTTGATGAATGTTCTTGGCTGGCCGTGGGGTGGTGGTACTAGCTTGCACGGTTTTTCCCCCGGAGTCCCCTTTGCCACTGTAACTAAATCATGGATAGAGTTCGCTTGAAACTCTATCAAAATCCCCGGCTGATCCAAGCAACCGCTCTGCGGTACTGTGGGGGCATGGATCGGCTCCCCTTGCCAACTCCTGCTTTGGCAACATGATCTCCTCCATCAAGAACGTCCTGACTAGGGCGCCGCACTGGCCATCTTCTGGACTATGACAGCTCTTTCGGGCCTCCTGTGATGCTCATGGTCATAAGCTCATCCTCTGCTGCGCAAAGCTCCTGACCTAACAAAGCGGTGAAGCACACTTCGTCGCATCGATACGGAGCCGTGCGCAGCCTTGTTCGCCGAGCTCTGCCAGAAGATCCTGCAAGGCAGAGCAACCTCCCTTACTACGATTAATGATTATCAGCCTGCTTTCGAGTCCCGGCCTCATCTGCGCATGCACCAGGCAGCCTGCAAAAGCGGCTGGCTGCTAGCGGCTGAAAGTGCGACGAGTGCGAGTGGCAGAGCCAAGCCTCGCTACCCACAAAGACACCCGCAAAATCCTCCGACCTCAGCCCGGCCAAGGCTTGGGGGCTGCCTGGAAATTTCGCAGACGCTCCAAGCACAGGTCGTGATCCGGGTGTCACATCTCCGAAGCGGATGGCGCGACCAACAATCTGCTTGTACCTGCCGATGGGCACGTACTGCTGGGAGAGCCTGTACACAAAACCTGATGGGCACTCTGCCCAACTGCTTGGTACATCACAGATATGGAGGCGACCAACACCTAAGCAGTCGACAGCCAAGGCGGAGCTGGTGTCTTAACTAGGTGTTCTTGGGCCCATGCCCAGAGCTGACACGCCTTCTCGACCAAAAGCAGTGTCGAGTAGAAGCACTTGAACCTGCAACCCATGGGACTTGACCGCGCTTCAGTCAGCGTGATCAGTCCTTTTCATGGAGCTGTTGTTGCAAACACTTGGCCTCAGGATGATTGTTGTCATTGAAGCGCTGCAGGGCCTCCGCACGCACTCACGATTCTGCCCCGGCACAAGATCCCCAACACTGATGAGCTCAGATTCTTCGGTTGAACCGTATGGCAATGTCTACCAGCTATGAAAACACCATGCCCTGATGAACCAAAGCCATCAAAGTGTCAAGTTCCCGCTGCCACGAATGAAACCTTGAATGCTCCAGCTGCCGCGACCTCTTACCCGTAGGTATAACAGGATGAGGAGCTGCAGTCGTAGCCGTTGTAGTGGTAGCAGTAGCAGTAGCCGTAGCAGGTAGGAGTAGGAGTAGGAGTAAATAGGAGTAGTAGTGGCAGTAGTAGTATGTTGTAGATAGCAACTCAGGTAGTAGGTAAACAGACGAAAGAACAGGCGAGCACCTGGACAGAATCATGTGGAAAATATACCGGCGCAATCGTACCACTTCGACCTCCGCAGGTCGAAGATGCTCCTCGCTGCCCTTGGAAACCACACAGCTGCTGTGACCAGAGAATACCTCAAATCGGGGGAAGGACTCTCAGACTCTCTTCAAGTAACGGCTTTTGGGAATTGTGTAAGACAGGGGGAAACAAGAGTCAAGAGTCATCTTTCAAGCTTGTTTTGCCGGGTTCCGCGCAGCAAAGATAGGAATGATGCGTGGTTCAGGTCTTAAGTTCCCACGGGCAAACTCTGAGGTTGATTGCTATAATGCGATGCCCTGTTATGCTACAGGACTTGTTTAAATGAAGAACGGCCAAACAAACGAAAGGTCCCAAACCATTTACGCAAAAACATATGTAGTTGTAAATGTATACATCTCTATACACATATATGTATATACCTTTTTTGGAAGCATTGAGCAACCTTGACGCGGACAGTCCGGCTCTACTTGCCAGGGCGTAGCTTCGGTTTTCAGATTCAGTCGGGTTGTATTTCGTGGGGTAGTATCCTTGCTGCATCTGGAATACATCCAGTGGCTGAGGCTGGAGCTGCTATCTTGACACTTTCGTTTGGGGCGTGAATTCGCAGGAGCTCTCGCAGCACCTGCACCATGGGAAGGAGCTGAAATTATTGGCCTGGTCGTTTGCCGATCCATGCAGTGCACTTAGTCATGAGCATCTGACAGAAAGGCCAGCAATTCACCAGAACGCTACTGAGTTGCGAGAAAGCGAACCTCAGGCCTGCAAACCACCCCGTCTGGAAATTGCCACCATGGCCTGCAGCAATAAGAAAACAACGAAGCTCCCGTGTCATCTACGGGTCGACAACGTCGGGCACCACCTTCTCCCGATCGGCCCAAACGGCTTTTGCGACTTTGGAGAGCTTTGCAGCGTGCTGCTCGGATGCCTCTCAAAAAGAACAAAATGCCAGCGAGGGGTGCAGCTGCACATGTCAGGTTGAATTTTGCACAGAAGCTCGATTGCTGCCGGCATTGGCTCTCGACAGACCTACCTAGCACTATCAGCAAGCACACTTTAGTTGCTTCGAGAACCCTGAACCAGTTTTGGATGTGCCTCTTGTTGAATGCAGCACGGTTTCCTCTGCTGAAGCCCTCGTATCAGCCTTGCACACCGGGAGACTCTTAGTAGAGGCCCTGAGAACCTCCTTCCACGTAATGGAAGGGCTTGGCTGCTGCAAAGATGGACGGCGGGCCAGGAAGTTGCAGAGGATGCACCCAAAGTCCCCAAGCAAAGCCAATGTCGCTGACAAGAACCACATTGCTCAGTGAAGCTGTGGGTCTTGATTTACTGTAGTACTGAGCAGCCTGCACGCCAAAAACACGAAGCTCAGCAATGATGGAACGAGAAATGCTACAAAGCCAGTTCCAGCGCTCACCCTGCACCTCAAACCCTCAACACCGCACTTCCACAACAGCTGCCTCCAGCACGAGCCCCCGCTTTTGCGGACGCAAAGCCCAAGAGTGGTGGACCTGGGCTCTGGGGAGTTTTTCTTGTAGTGAGAGTAGGACTACTGTCAGTCACTACCATTGCCACGACGGAATTTCAACTTTCCTCAGTTCTTGCTGTTCCGATTCCCTCATCACTCTTTATGTTCTGCACAACACACACACACACGCCCAAGATTCTTGTGTTCATACATATATCAAAAAAATGAAATAAAAAAAATATATAAAAATATGTGTGTATATATACATAATATTAATATGTCTACAGTTAGTCACGTCACTACGCATACATGCAACCCCGCGGAGTCCATGGTTCCATTTGTTTGCGTCATGACGGCGTGTAATTAACTTGCATTTTGCATCTACAGCATTACCATTTCGGTGGCCGTTTAAACTAGGCGTGTGCAGCTTTGCCGGGGGAATGATTAAATTGCTCACAGGCCTGCTGCCAGAGCATGTTCGAACAACAAAAGCGTTTTCTTCATGCGAAGACGCAAGACCTCAACCAACCGAACATTCCTGAAACCAACAAACTCAGCATGATGCGGAGATCCAACTTTCATCTAGCAGTATCAGAGCGTAAGCTTCGGGAATCTGAAAGACGACATGACTAGCTTGGACCCGAACATGCCCGAACATCTAAATCGCATAGTCATGGAGCACATAATCCCTCACGATCGTCGCATCATCACCGTTCGCCATCGCCACCAAAACGCAATTATGTCTGGACAGCTGTGAGCTGCCTTAGAAGACTACTTTCGAGTGCTGCGCAGTCCAAGTTGCTTCAAAATTATTCAAGTACGCTCAGTGTCACATGTCCCGCACAGGTTACCGCCTTCGCTTCTGGCCGAGGCCCGAGCGGCCAAGTTGCAGCAATCCCGCAAACGCACCTGGATCAATCGCCAGGCCGCCAAGCAGTGCGACAGTGCCACGGTCCCCATGCGCGCCCGCTAGGCCAGGCACGACATCACATCCTTGAGCTTGAAGCTCTCTATACTTGGCCTCCATTTCCTGAGTCTTGAAAGGGAAAACATGTGTACAGCGGCAGAGCATCTCGCCTCAGGCAAGTCCACCGGGACCACCAGCTCTCCCTGCAAATGCGAGCCTGGGCCGTACGGTTGATGATATAAATCCTGCATTAATTACCCATAATAAGGGAGTATGCCATAATTCCCATAGTTTAGGGTCCTTGAGGTAATGCAGGATTTATATCATCAACAGTAGTTTCTACCCCCAGCAGTCTGCACACTGCCGCAAACTGCATTCGGGGTTCCGGCATAGTGGCCGGTCTGGCACGCCGGCTGGATAGACCTCCAACTGCTGCACAACCCGAAGATGCGCTCACTGACCATGCCTGCCTCAGGAAAGAACTCCGGAGACCGCACGAGATGCATGTCCAGCCTGCTAGCCGAGAGTTGCATGCTGATCAATGTTGTACTGACGCAATGACTCCGAGATCTGGACCATCCTTCAGAGCCCGCTGAAGCATGCTCTCGACCTTTGAGAACACGCCTGGGACGGGACTTCGGACTCAGAAGACAACAAAGTCAGCTGAGCCATGCAATGCAAGATTCTCCAAACAAGCCGAAGATGCAGCAAACGATGCCCATCGCTCGTGTCGGTCTGAATGGGGCTGCCTGTTAGGAAGACCTGAAACATGCGTTAAACAAAAACGCAGCAAACCGTTGTCGCAGCTCCGCCCAAGGCTTCTGCCAGCGATGAGCCGTTTGCATCTGCGACTGCCTGAGAACCGTGAACGGTGCTTCACGCCATGACCAACTGCCAGACTCCCTGTCTACTAAACCGAACACCCAGATCGCGCCTTGCGAAGCCGACGCAAAGGCTCCTGATTCGAGATCTTCAAAGGCTGTAGGTGAGAATGTGATAAAGCGGCGCTAGCGGAGTCCTTCCAATAGTTTCCTTTCCACCTGTCTCGAAACTCTTGGCTGAAAAATGAAGCCACGTGTTTCAATTTGCAGAGGCCCGCATGCCTTGGAAGCGCCAGTATGTTGTGTACTTCATCGAAAACCAAGTTCTTGTTACTCATGGGGTTCTTCCCATCGAAGCCGAAGCGAAACCTTGCGCAGACGTGAGCTTCTATGAGCTTCTGTTCCTGAAGTGTAGAAACGCGACCATGCACTGCTCTGAGTACCAAGAGTCTGGCACGCTGTCCATCCTGGACGCATCGAAAGATCCGTCCCGCTTCCATCCTGTCAATCTGATGGGGGGATGTGTATGCACTTTTGATGTCTTGCTCCTACCACGGCAGGAAATATGCGAGGACGAAGTCCTCCACGGGAACCCCCTGCAGACGTGTACTTGAAGGCGCGCAGAGGAGCTGTTGGTGGAGGAACGTCGGGATGTTCTTGAGACCATTCCTTCGCAAGCCGGCAGAGGGTGGCCGGCTCATGTGAGGGGTAAAGCGGATCCTGCAGAAAAGCTTGAGAGATCTCGCCCAGTCGGACTTTTCTTTCCAGGCCAAGACAAGCCTCCACCTCATGGGTTCAAGATGATTCAACCGTTCAACCAAGCTCACTCTGGACTTCTCGCCCGCCAGAAACTTGCGCCGTGGCCCCTGCTTGCGAAGGGGGGAACTCGGCAACTTCTTCTGCAGACCAGCAGCGATGGCGCCTCACAGTAACTGTGCCTGGTTCCTGCCTTGTGCTACAATGCGCTACCAGCGCTTTATCTCATCATTGTCAAGGTTCTGCTCAAGCATCTGCCATGACCGATTCCGGCTGCTGAAATCGCCATCTATTGCCCTAGAGCCCTGCTCTGATGATGGCACCGCTTGCGCCACTCGGGAACATTCTCGGAGGCACAGAAGAAGTCGCGCCAGGAGCCAGGGAATTTCAGCAGCTCCTAAAGTTCAGAGGCTTTCCGACCAACTACCATCACTCCATCACTGTTGCAATGCTGTCGCGGAAGCAGCAGTCCGACTCGAAAGTATGCTTCTGATTCGTGGTGCTGCTGCAGTGTTGAATCGGTTGGGGCTTTAGTCTTTCGGCGATGGCGTCAATTTCCCGACAGCACCTGTCCATTTCCGACATCAGCGCGGTGGGATAATCTCCCTACAGTGACGCCAAGATACATCACTCAAGAATGCTTCAACAGTCAGTTCGAGGGAGTTTCGCAGCTCGTGAATGTCATCTTCAACACCCACATGAAGCCCACCACCATCATTATCATGGTCACAGAAACCGCCACTGACATCATCCTGGTCATGTTGCCGTCAACACTAGTCGTCGCTTCGTCCTGTCGGTCCTATCCGTCTAATCGAAATCGCTGTCATCGGCGCCGTCATCGTCGTTCCCCCGTCGTCTGCAGACCGTCTCTGTCACTGCGGCGATGGCAGCAGTTCTACGTGAGGGTAATGATCGGCCGATGGGCGTATCGAGACTGCACAGCATCGACGAATTCAAGCCCGACGATTCACTCTTAACTGTCCTTAGACTTTGCTTCTGCCGAGTAAGACCTGCTCCGAAAATGGCATGACGGGCCCTCAACCTGCATCTGCATGTCCAGGTCCTGGTAAAAGTTTTCCTTCACTGCTTCTTCTGGAAAGAACAGGCAGGTGGCTTTGCCAGATCTAAAAAACCTTAAGGCAGGCTGACAGAAAGTGGCTCTCTTCAAGAAACGTTTGCCCGTCTTAGGCACAGGACGAGTCGGCAGAAGCCAAAACCGTGCGTGTCTTTCCTGAGCCGGTCGCATGGACCTTGGCTACGCTCACATCTTGCACATCCAAAGTTCTCCAGATGCCTGGCATGCCTGGGCCCTTTCCTTCGCCAAGAGGCCACCAGCAATCGAGTCAATGGAGACAGCGGGTGCAACAGAAACGCCACTCTCAGCTGGTACCTGAGCGGAATCACCAATACGCGGATTCATAGGTTCGGCGATCAGGCCCAGGCGGCTGAAGAGGAAGGCTGCTGCCTGAGCTCTGCATGGCATCTTCTTCGCTACCGCTGCTCCTGCACCGCGACATAAAATCTTGCATGCGCCAGAAGCACACCCCGTAACAATAACACACCGAAAAGCGCATGTTGAGAAGCCTGAACCTCTCCAAGGCTGTCTGCACAAACTTGCGGAATCCGTCTTGGCCCTGCCTGCTGAAGACGCCAAAAGCTTGTCTTTCCAGCCACTGACTCTTAACAACATTTCAGTCCTTTTGTCAAGATGCATCCAACTTTCTGGGTGCGCATTTAAAGAATGTGTGTGAGACCGCCAGCCTGGGAGCTTCTCCGGCACCATCCTTCGAACTGAGGGATCCGACTCATATAATAAGTCGAATTACATCGATGTGCCAGGCATGTCTGAATGGACGGTCCCATTGCCACACGTGTGAAGGATATGGGCGAGCAGGATAGAGCCAGTCGGTCGGCTCGCGCATGACCTGGCGGTAACATGAACAGATCTTGCCTGTGCGACAGCCTCCCGACTGCTTGGTTGCGCTGTGGCTGTAGTTTTCGGACCGGCCTTTTTATTCCCTCACCATGAGCTCCTCCTTGAATGAGTGAGACCAACTGTATAGCAGCCGCAAGCTCTTGGCACGCCGCAGCTCGACTCTCGTGGCACTGCCGATTGCAAGTTCAGTTGCATTTTATCAACCACGTAAACTGGCAACAAATCCCGAGATCGCAGCAGCGAGGCAGCCAGTTAATCTAAGCTTTCTAAGCTCATGGGCAGCATTATCGCAGACTAGCACCGGCGAGGGCCTTTGCGCAGGTGTCGTTCATCCTGGTGGCGAAGTGGAAACTGGTTGCCATCAATGCCGTCTTCTTTTGGGACTTGGAGTTGGGCTGCGACTGTAGTCGCCACTGTCGCTGCGCCCCCGGCTTTGCCTGCGGTTGTTACGTCCGCGACTATACGATCGGTCTCGCGGAGGAGCGCCAGGAGGGGCTTCATAGGCGCCGGCTGGTGAGGGTGCTGGTGGATGAGTATAGGCTGCGCCATAGGCCGGAGGAGGATAGCCGTATGGCCCTGGTGGTGGATAGCCGTATGGCCCTGGTGGGGGTGCATAGTAGGCGCCGTAAGGTGACTGCGGGGGATAACCATAGGGTGGGACTGGTGCAGGGTAGCCGTGGGGAGGAGGCGGGTAGCAGTACGGATTTGGGGGTGGTGTGCCATAAGCACGCTCGTAGTATGCCCGGTAGCTGTCGTGGCCATTCTGTGGCTCATAAGGCGCATCCGGTCGCCGGCGTTCCGCAGATCTAGACCGCCGGTCTGCATCCTTCTTCGCTGGAGGAGGCTTCTTTTGCGCTGTCTTCCTCTTTTTCCTCGGTCGAGCACACTGCAGTGCATGTCTGGAGTCTTAGCACCACGACAGCAAGTGCGGTCAAATCGCCTATTCTTCAGCTCATCCTTGTCACACATGTGACAGTGAGCACAGTCCTGAAGCAAACGGCCAAAGGGTCGACACCAAAGGATCTTAGTTCCCACACATCACAGCACGTCGCCACCAGAGCTTCAAAACCCCTCCGAGAAACAGTAATATGGATCTAGCTCTACACAAAGAAACAGATCTGTTCCACATGAAGAAATCATTCTGAACCAGCTTTCCTGATGTCTTAAACACGAACCAGAATCAGAACTCCTGGAATAATGGTTCTAGAAGCGCTGCGCCTTGACACCCTCCAGAAATACAAAGTTGCAGCAGTACGGCAGAGTTTGCTGGTTGCTGATCCTCTCGGAAAATGATGCAGTTCCAGCCACATACATGCCCACCTAATGTCCAAAAGCTTTGTCAAAACATTAACTTGCCTGTGTATGTATATGTATATACATATACATATAACACAGACACACACACACATTCCTATGTGTGTGCCGCATGCATATACTTTTGGGATATACATTATATCAGCTATATGCAGTACAGTCTACATAAATAAACACATTGTGCACGTCTACACGAACACGGACAAACAAACAGGGCACTGTTGTTTCGGCCGGACAATGGACTACGAAGCGGTATGCCGTCCTTGCCATTGCGGCAGCCTTGAGGCTTCCAGTACCACGCACAGGGCTTGCATTCGCCCGTGCCATGGTCCTTCGAGCCCAGTGATTCCTCAGCATCATAGTCAACTCAGGACTTGGAGTGGGACAGCAAACAAAAAAAGCCGGCTGCAGCAGCTGCTAGAGGGGGTTATGGTATTGTTGCAGCTCAGACACGCTAGGAAGTATAACTTTTGCAGGTGCAGGTGCAGCCCTTGGATCATGAGATGCAGTGCTGCTAATGCCACTGCATTGGTACTCGGACATTGTTACTCCAGCCTGTACTATTCAAGTGGCTCGCCATCCTTAGGCTTACCGTCAGCAGGCTTCGGCTTCTCCTCAGCCGCTTCCTGCATACTTCCGGACAAATCCGGAATACCCGAGCAATATATTAAGTCCATGCCGTATGACTCTCCAGCTCACGGCCTTCTCGGCCATGCCTCTAAGGACGGCGAACCGAGTTGGAGCCAACGGTGACCTAAGCACCCACTTCTGATGAATGGTGCATCCAGAGGTCATGCCCCACCCCTCCCAGCAGACACACAGCCACACACATGAGCTTACATTATGACATTATGCGTTCACGTTCAGGTGACAGGGCTACCGAAGAGAAGCGGCAGATATGCATCCGAGCTGCTGTTAAAATGGTGTCAAATCTCCAACCCGACATCACCAAACCCTCTTGACATCTGGCTCACACTTGAGCCCAAAGAAAGCTTCAAGTGGACACTGGTGCGTTTTGCAGCTGCAGACTTGCTTCCAACCTTGCAGGCCGTTACAGAGTCTCCGGTCTACAAACTGGGTATCCGAATTGTATCACGACCATCAAGGCTTCTGGACTGTTGTGTCAGCCCAGAGCACCCGGTCTTGGCATGCCTTGGTGAATAGTAAGATCCCGCCTTGTTAGGGACAGGCGGTGCCGCCTTCCCCTGGCCGTTTGCGGCTCGAAACGCTGCCAAGCCAGCCTGCGACGACTGGAGATGATGACATCAGAAGCCGTACGGAGAACAAGCGTCAATGAACGATTCGTCGCTGCCGCCGACACCACCACCAAAACCATTCTCAAACAGCACGACCCCACCCGCTCCCTACACAACTTTCCCGCCGAGATTTGTTGCACAATTTTTCATGCGTGCATGCGACACCAGTGCGACTACGACATGGACAAAGCAACAGCGGGCAGCAGCTGCGGGCAGGTAATCCGGTAAATTGTCCAGGCACTCAGAAGTGCATCTGCTCCTGGCCTCAAACAAGACACTCAGAGGTGGCAGAGCGGTGAGTGGCGCAGGCCTTGCAGGAAGTGCAAGTCTCCAGCTTGACAAAGAAGCGGATGCAAGCAGTTCGCCGGACTCAAGCATCTACAGAGTCCGTCACTCTGGATTCAACCTGTGTACCCTAATTATTCTCCCCCAGAAGCCCTCAGATTAAGCTCCCGCACGGCAATGCCAGCAAAGGTGCCGATGCACCCACAGCCTTTTGGCAGGGGCTGCTCCAAACTTCTTCCCGAAGCCAAAAGCGCTCCAAAAACACCCACGGGCACTCGGAACCTCCCATCGGCACAGTAAGAACGGATGACCAAAAAAGTGAGGTTTAGGCTCTGTGCAGCATGAGCTGCCGTCGTCTGTCGACGACACACACTCCTGTTGGGTTGTCGCTAGTTAGATCTCCTAGTCGAATAGCTGGTTGGAGTTTTGTCACTAAGTGCTGCTTTCCGGCAATGGGTGTGTCGATGTTTGCCGCCCACCGGTCCTTTGGCCACTGCCCCTTGGGCGAGCACTGAAGATTGTTAACCCTGGTTTGGGGTGCACTACGAGTTGCAGGAGAAAGCCCACCCGATCTTAAATTGCTGGATAGCATTTGTGTGTTCATCTTCGTCTTTGAACCTCGGAATTCGCGAATTCCGCTATCGGTGGGCACATGTATGTGAAGAACTTCGGCGGCTTCATCAAACCGCCCATGGTTAGATTCGAATGAGCACAAGCAGCGCCTGAACTTTGCTCGTGCTGCCGCTCCTCCAGGCATGTAGGAAAAGGAACCACGAAGCAGCACAAGTGACTCAGGAAGCCAGCTTCCTGCGATTTCTGCCGTAGGCCAAGACCGGCACCGGTGCCAGGACCATCTGAGCAAGTTTAAATGCGTTACGCCATGACGCCCTCCAGTTCAAAGCCCCGGCCTCCCGAGCATCCCTCATGTCCTCGAGGGCCAGGGGTGCCAAGGACCTTCGGTGTCTCTACCCACTTTGATACTGCGCGGCCATCTGTGCACCGGGCCTCAGTGAGTCCAGCGGCCTCGACAGTTCTGAAGCCGTCGGGGCAGGCACTAGCCTGCACTAGTGGAAGACTTCGGCGAGGCATGCCAGGTTGACGATCAGATGTCGTTAGTGGTGTCAGTGGTTAGTAACAGTTAGTGGTTGTTGAATCCATGTGCTACTAGTAGCAAACACTCCCGTGAATCCTCATGACTTACGCTTGTCATCTTCTCGTTTCGATGTATTTCGCCGTACTTCCATCGTGCACCGTATATGTTGTTAAGACTTCCAAGAAGTCTGCGCACATCGCAGGGGGTTCCTGTATCAGAACTTTAGCCTCCCGCCCGCGACACCCAAACCACCCATTCAAAAGGAAGCATGCCCTAGGCACTGCCCTACGGCCTAGATCTTGACCAATTCTCGATGCAAGCAGGCCAGGGAGGCGCTGTGCTCTCAGAGAAAGCACCTTGCCCATGCTTTCACATCTCTTCGAGTCACTTCGAAGATCAAGCTCAAAGCATGAATGTGCCTTGTTCCAGGTCTTGACATCTCTCGACTTGCTCGCCTTCCTGGCACTTCGGGCAAGGTGCTTTAAACACACCTCAGATGCTCCACTCGATTCCTCATCATCGGACCTGAGTCTGCTCATAGCCTTCACAGCCTCTAAACTCTAAACTGCACAGGGTAAGGACGTCGCCAAAGCAAGCGTTCCAGACCTTCGCTAAGGGCCTCATCGACACATTCGTGTGATCCGCAGTTCAATAAATGTCCAGCACAGTTTGTAAGGACCGATCCTCCGAACTGCCAACGTCGCTCTCCATGTCGCCTCAAGCACTCGTAACAGCAAACTGGGCCAATGGGCTCAATGGGCCTCATGTCGTCATATCATGGCCTTCGTCGACAGCATTGGCCGACTGTGGCAACTCCTGGGCGATATTCCGGGAACTCTGACTCGACGCTGCCGACTGGCTCCACGCTCCTCCAGGATACAGTCGTCTCCGTGAAGCTTACTGACAGCCTTCCGCCTCAGGATTGCAGATCTGGCCAAGGGCTGAGGATGACGGCAGCAGATCCGACGACCATAATTTAATGCGGCCTGTTGAAACTCTCGGCTTGACTTGTGAGTTGTCGTTGCTGCTCCCAACTCCTTTCCGGCTTGTTCCTGCTCCTTTCGGCGTCTACGGAATTCTACGGCATGCTGCTGTCCGGTTCTGGGGCTTCTTGCTTTTGGGGGTTTAGTTTAGGGCAGAGCAACTACGTGAATCTTGAAATGCGAGTGGCATGGCTGGGTTGGCTCCAGGAGGGTAGGGGATGGGGCGATCCACCTCGCCCCCGCACAGTGTTGATACCGCCTGAGGTGGTGCGCTTGTTGGTCTCTGCCATCTTCGAAACAGTTTCGATAAGTTAAGATAAGATAAAGTTTCTGGAAATCAGTAGAAACACACGAATAGCGCATGTATCGGTAGAGACAGGTAGATCGATTAACAAATGAATAGACAGATGGAAAGATAGGTAGGCAGGTGGGAAGGGTAGGCCAGTATTGCGGAGTTCTCATTTTAAAACCTCCGTAGTAGTACACAGAAACAGCACGAACCACACATGTTCATGACAACATCACACTCAGCTACACTATAATATACATTACATACATGCATGCCTGCATGCATGGCTACAATACATACATTCCTGCATACATACATACATACATACATACCTACATACATACATACATACATACATACGCATATATGTATACACATATTAGTAGCGCATCTGAATTTGTATCACATACATACATATGTGTTTATACATTTACATATATATATATGCGTATTTACACACATACTAGTATCGTATCTGAACCCGTATCTATATTAGAACACACACACACACACGAAATCTGTGTTTCTCACACACGCACACAAACAAGCTTTATGTTTTCTCGCAGATGCTGCGCTTCGCTGTCTGTTGTTTGATGCCAGTACGCATGATGAGTCTCGGTTTACGTATGTACACACATGTGTAAACAACGCACATGTACATGCGTGCAACGCTGTTGTTTTCGTCAACATTTAGTACCCACTGTGTTCCGAGTCTTGCTATCACTATGACTATGCCCATTCCAGTCACAATAACAAGAAACAAGTTTATGCTCAGTACTACTCCGTCTGCTGTGAGTCACAAGGTTGGCGGCATCTCATGCGGTTTTGCCTACCACTGCTGTCTCGATGATGAACTGACATCTTTGTATCCATCAGTCTGACACCTTCTAAATTTTTGTATTCTTGCCTCATGCCGCCTTGCATGCTTCTCGTTCTCTTTGTGTCTTTCTTCCATTTCTCTGGAGTCGTTCGTCGCCTTGTTCTTTCCTTTTGCTTATTCGGTTGCAGTGCGCTGAACACGAAACCAGGAGTCTTGGCATTTTGCGACTCTTTGTCAGACTGTTGGTCCGAAGCAACTGAAGGACCGCCATGTATTGTTCTCCTCTCCTTGTTCTTCCCTTCCTTCATCCTTCCTTCCATTCTCCGTGCCGTCTTTCGTTGTTCATCGTTCCGTTCTTCCTTCCTTCGTTCCCTGTTTGCCTTCATCTCCGCCTCGCCTCCTTCATTAGGAAAGACAAGAGGTGTACACACGTGGTCATATGGAATATAAAGTATGTCAGCATGAGCACTACGACAGAGGACTGCTGCGGTCCAAACCCGATGATGAGCAGGTCGTCGTCTGGTTCCGTCAGCGTCCCTGCAGGCAGCCTCGCAAGTAACGACAGGAAACAGTCGGAGCTTGATCCTTGAATTGCATCGTATCCCAGCACAGCGAAAATAACATAGCCCGCAACCCTGCGCATGGTTCCGCCAATCTCCACTGCCGCTTTATTGCGTTGTCCTGCCGCGGAACAATCCACGCTCTGGCTGAACCAGAGGTTCCACTCAAGATACGGTGCCTTCGTGCACTCGCTGATACTGCTTCGGAAAGACCTCTAGGTGCAGCGGCTAGGTGGCATCTGTGGCGCTAGTTGTTTGGACTCGGACTCTGCAATATGCTTAGTACATGACGCAACCCTGCAGGGCCGTTTTGCGGCACAAGGCGGAGTGGGCGTCAAGTCCTGGCCAGCGCAGCCCTCAAAGGATACAACATCGCACACAATCAATCAAACAATTCTGGAGCATTTGTTTCGGAAAACTGGAATAATGCCCGCCTGCGACCGCTTTCCAAACAAATTGTGCCTGTGCAGGTTTGCAAGCTGTGCTATACTTGAATCCAAAACATTCAAAATGCACTCTCGTGGTCTTATTGTCAGTTGACATCGGCGGTATGGCTTGGATTCCCCACCTCGGAGTGTGTATTGCGGGTTGGACATTGACCGGCCCTCTGCTGCACATTGCTGAGGGTGCACGCTGAATGCAGGGTCCTCATGTGAGAATGGTGCTGTTGAAGCGGCCGATGCTTCCACCACTACTACTATTTTTCACACTGCAATGATAGTGACAGCAACCAAACTTCCAGTAATCAACATGGTACTTCACCAAATTCTCAATAGCATCCAGCAACCTCTCAACCCAAAGGTGCAGCCCGCCAAACTTAGCCGATGGACCAAGTGTCTTGCTCGCATGTTTTTGCGAGACTATGCTCAAATGGCTGATGAACCGTGCAGCATTCCAAAGGCAGTAAATGCAGTAACAGCGCATTGCCAAAAGGGTTGGCATGGACATCGAAACCTTCGAGCATATGCTGCATTTTAATCCATGCGCAAACAAGCTTGTGGGTCTGCCTAGCTACTTCGACTTGTGAAACACGCTGGCTGACTTCAACCAGCCGCATGCCTGCCTGTTCACCATCCATCTCGTTCTCTCTCTCTCTCTCTCTCTCTCTCTCTCTCTCTCTCCTTCCCCAGGGCATGAGGGGCTGCTGAGAGCTGCTGCAACGCTGTACACTCAACCCTAAACCGGTTTGGTGTCTCTCTTCTTCGCCAGGGCTTGAGAGGCTGTTTAGGCCCCCCGGCCACTAGGGCCCCCCATCTGTTATGGGGCTTTGAGGAGGCGTGAAAGCAAGTTTAACGTGTTCCCCAGGACAAATGTTTTGCAAAGCAGCGAAAGACTAGTCACACTGCAATAGGAGGACAACACCCACTGATTTCCCCTATTGTCCCCTAGGGGTACACGTAAGCAGTGCAGCTTTGGGACGCCTTGTCGGAGCAGGTTATTTCATCTCAAGTCCAGGTTGTCGACCGGAAAACTAATGGTGTCTCTCTCTCTCTCTCTCTCTCACTCTCTCTCTTGCTTGCTTGCTGTCTCTCTTCTTCAGCTCACTCAAACGGCACGCGGAACCCCGCAACCGCGCACACATGCGCCCTGAAAGTCTCGCTCTCCCTCTTTTCTTCTTCTCAGAGCATACAGTAAGGGGCGTCTGAAGCCCCCGGCTGCCAGGGCCCCCCAATGATTATGGGGCCTTCGGGAGGCCTGTGACACATAGTGCAAACCAGGTTTGTTCCACTCTCTTGCTTTCTGTCGCCAGGGCTATGGTGTAGACCCCCTACACCGCACGCAGATGCGCCCCCGACAGTTGCGGGTGCCAGAAAGTTAGCAAAACACCACACGAAGGCTAGGGACTTGCCCAAAAACGACATGAGCTGCCCTTCGGCAACGAGGGCATGTGCCAGGCCACTTCAAAACACAGACGGCAGACATAACTGTAAAACAAATGATCAGCTCGCAGTGGGTCCTTCCGGCACTGGCCTCGATCACGGGGATCTTCCCCCCGAACTTGGTGGTGTGTTGAGTTGAGCTTCGCCAGCTACAAAGCTTTGCCGCGAATTATGTTACATGTGACGGACCTAAGAAGCCGAGGTCTTGGCGAGAGCAAAACAGCCTATGCAGGCGATATTCGAAGATACAGGATCCAGGTGGCCTCTTGGTCTGACCAGAAACTGTACAAGCCGTGTAAATACGGTGTAAATGTAGTAAGGTCAATCCCTGCGGTAGGCAGGGGTTCATGAGAGAAGTCTAGGAAAGCTCCAGTGGCCCGTCAAGCTGAATTTACCAGACTGGGGAAAAAGAGGCGCTTCGAGCGCCTCGCAGAAAAATTCTGTATCGTGAAATTTTGAGGCCCCTAGTCGTATGGGCAGAAATGGCACCGCGGCAAGCTTTGGCATGATGTCAGGCTGGAAATTGCTCCCACAAGACAGCCAACAAGAAACAACCAGCACAACAAAGAACTAAGAAGCATCCTCAGCAATCGCAGAGGTTTTCCCCCTGCATCAAATCATTGACAGTGACGTCTTACCTTCGTTTTCGAGTTGGCTCAAGGGGAGTGAAGCGCAGTCCGAGGGGAAACCAACAAAGGGGGGAATGCTGCAGTACTCACTTCCTTCATCTTGGAGCGCAGGGGCTTTTCCCCTCTCGTACTTGGCGGCTACTCAGCAGTGTCTCTGTTCAGCGGTTCCTCTTATCTCCACGGCGCTGATCTGGCTCCCAGTCCTGCAGTCGTCTTTTTTCTCGTCTGAGGTCCATGTAGTTCGCCTTGTAACGCCGCCAGACAATCTCGTCCGTGTCCCAGGAGGTTCATGTCTCAGGCCCGGATCTCCATGTTCTGCTGGTGCGGAGCCTACAGCGATGACGAAGGGGATGACCTCGATTACCTTCTTGGCATTCTCGTAGTTGGGGTGGCCTCCGCTTCTGGTTCCTGACCATGTTCACCAGGTTGCGGGGACGCGTGCGTGGCGCCAGCTTCAATTCGAATCGGGGAAAGTCCCCGGATGATCCCCACGGGCGTAGTAGACGGGGAGGTGGGGTTGTCGTCTTTGCTTTGTGTGTTTGTTCTGGTCTCAGGTCCATGCTGGAGCCTCCCCAGACCGCAGGCGGTGAGAGGTCAGCAGGGGGACTGGCCAATGTTAAAACCGGTGCTTTCGTCGATCCTCCTGTCTGTGCAGGCTGACGCCCCGCCACTGTCTGCCTAGGCAAGCCAAGAATGTCCTGCAGCGATTCCAAGAGAGGGTCATCAGCATCTAGGCCGTCACAGATCGCGAGCTCCTGCATGGCCTGGGGTTTCCCGACTTCATCTTGGCTTGCCTGTCGTCCTTAGTGTCCTTAGTGGGGGGGGGGGCGAGGGGGGAGGTGTTCAAGCAGCCGACGGGCTGGTGGAGGTCCTCACGCGCATCGCCTCGTCACGGGCCATGGCGATGTCCAACTCCAGCATGATCTGTTTGGCTTTGCTTGGACTTGGGTCCGGAATGCCGTAGAGGACGCAGTTGTGTGCTGTCGGAACATGTTTGGCGTGACGTTCTTCTCCGTGAAGGCATCTGTGGCAAAGCTGGGGAATTCCCCCCGTCCTTGGGGTTACCCCCGGCTGGGTGTGCCCCGTAGCGGCCAGCACTGGGCCTACCGTGGTCGTAGCAGTCCAGGGGGCACCGCTTCCTTGGAGAGATTCCTGCACTGCTCTTTCTATCTTCCGTCGCCTTAGAAAGGCTTGTATCTCAGCAGGATCAAAGCTTTCGCATCCATGGACCTCGCGGGCGGGGTCCTCCCTGAAATAGCCTCCATGGTATGACGGACCTCTCAGGCAGCAAAGGCACCTCCTCACGATCACGACGTGGGCAACGTCCCCGTTCGAAGTAGCCGCCGGGCCGGATCGTGTGGTCGAGGTAAGTAGGCTCGCCGATCACTTAGGGGCCGCGGGGAGGTCGAAAGCAGCGGTCACCAGCCGGGAGCGTTGCACTACCATCTCGCTCACACGGGCGGTGAGCTGGGACAGAGGATGCCGATGAGCTGGTTCAGCAATCGCGGCGGAAGCAGAGATTCAAGCTGAGCTAAGAGGAAAGCGCGCGGGTTGAGAAGGAGTGGACATCGAAGCATGGGAATAAGGAGAAGCAAGGGTCAGAGAGGCCAGTCCGGCTTGAGCCAAAAATGGCTACGGAGCACTCGCTCGCTCTCGCTCTCCCTCTCTCACCCTCTCTCCCTCTCCCTCCCTCCCTCCCTCCCTCCCTCCCTCCCTCCCTCCCTCCCTCTCTCTCCGTGTCCGTTGACTGAATCAGTTTCAAGCAGGTGGTGGCATCCGTCATCACAGCGACACGGACAATGCGCAAAGCATCGGCTTGATCAAGCCTGGTGGAGCAGGTCCTTCTACTCGTCGCTACGACATGTCTGGCTGAGCCTTGGACGGGTGAGTGATGCCTGTATATACATATATGTTTATGCACACATGTGCATATGCATGTATTGATATGTACATACGTCCTACTCTGCCATACACGCAGTCCTGACTATGCCGCGTTCGTACTTGCATGTGCCTGCCAACATGTCTGCATGCATATACATATATATGTATATGCGTATATGGTTTCGCGTACAGAGACGTAAATATGCGTAATTGTATCCACACGGAACCTGTGTAATTATGTCCATTCACGTTTTGCTCATATATATGGTAACCCCCTTATTGACCAACTTCCATGATGTTTTGAAGGAGGGTGAAGTGCGAAGACGAAGCAAATGCCACACATACTGACAACGACGCGACTTTCTGTTCGATATGTTCAGATGAACAACCAAATTCTAAAAACAAATCCCCAAAAAATAGTATAAAAACAAAACAACAAACCCAAAACCAAACAAAAACGACAAAGACACAGACTCTATGTTTGATATGTTTAGGAAAATCACAAAATAGACAAGACCTGAAACTAATTAAAAACATTTAAAAATGCCAAAAGAAAGAAACAAAAACATAACAACAAAACTAGAACACAAAACACCCAAAAATCCGGACCCTACCCAAACATAGGGCTGGATTATTTGTTTTTTTGTTTTTTGTGTTTGGTTGTCTTGGTGTTTTTGGTGTAGGCTGGGTACCTGCTGCTCCGCGGTTGTGCTGCTCTTTTCCCACGCGGCGTTGCTCCCATACAGGGATCTGCACGTGGTTTTCTTGTTTCGCGCGATTCACGAAAAAGTTGCAACTATATTTAACTTGACGAGATTGGCTGCAGTGTCCAATTTGAACAAAAGCACTGCCCGCAAGCAAAAAATGAAAAACTTAAACCACCAAAAACAGCAACACAAGAAAAAAACAAAAAAAACGACAACACGAACAAACAAAAACCAAACCAACCAAACATCCGGACCCGATACGAAACATAGGCTGGATTCTTTGCCTTGTTTTGTGTTTTGTTGTTTTGGTGCATTTGTTTTTTGGTTTAGGTTGGGTACTTGCGGTTCCGCGGGTGTACTGCTCCCACTCAGGGACTCTGCATGTGGTATTCCTGTCTCGTGCGATTCACGAAAAAATTGCTTGCCATGTTTAAACTGATATTGGCTGCAATGTCCAATTTGAACAAAAGCACTGCACATAAGTAGTTTTCGCTAAGTTAACTAATTCGGTACCAATAAAG